ATGATAATATCATAATATGTTGCTAACCGGTAACATTCATTGCTATGCGGATGACAGCACTAGTGATGCTCTATGCACCGGCCGTGCCAATATTTCTAGGGAAAACGTTGCCGAGTACCGGAACAAACTTGTGTCTGAAGTCGATTTTTTGCTGAATAAAGTCTCGGATTGGGGGTGACTAAAATCTAGTCCAGTTTAATCCTCAGAAGACACAAGTTTGCGCGTTTACTGCTAAAAAGAACCCCTTTGTCGTATCTCCTCAGTTTCAAGGCACTCACTCCCCTTGTTGCTTAAGCCAGTATCCGAATCTTCGGCGTCGACATATCGAGTGACGTGCAGTTTCGTGGTCACTTGGAAGAGAAGGCCAAATTGGCCTCTAAAAAGCTTGGCGTGCTCAGCAGAGCGGGACAGTATTTCATGCCAGCACACCGCCTGCAACTTTATAAGGCCCAGGTTCGGCCTCACATGGAATACTCTTCCCATCTCTGGGCCGGGGCAGTGCCAGCTCCTTCCACTTGACCGCATCCAGCGCAGGGCGGCTCGAATCGTTGACGACCGAGTTCTTTCCGATCGGCTCGATCCACTGGCGCTGCGAAGAGATGTTGATTTAATTGAACAAATCAGATAAAGAAAAAAATAATTAAGAGCTTTTAATCGATCCCACTTGAAGATCTTTAAAAAATTTTTTTTTTTTCAGTTTCATATTTTCGCTACAAAACTTAACCCTGTGTGTTAAACTTAACCTTAAAACTGTGTTATCTTAAGCTGAATTTGGCACAGAATAATATAATGAAACACACACTGTTTATGCTTAACATAATATGATATACATATATTATTAAAATTTATGAGAGTGCTTATGAAATTGATACTAATTCACATGGCTCAAAGGGCTTTTGATTGACACCTCTCACGATGTTTTCAATAAAAAAAATATTGCTTCCTATTTTTACCCCCAAAAACTAACTATGTATTTTGTTATTATATATTTTTGACCTATGTTGCAAATTAGAATTTCCAAGTGTGTCTCTTTTTCTGAGTTTGGCAAAGAACAATAAAATAAAACACATTTATTTTACGTACTTTTCATAGACTTCATTGTGATATCGTTATTTTATTAATAATAATGTTAGCTAAATTCCACAACATAAATGACCGAAAATATCATATTCTGTATGTTTTTGAAATTGAAACTTTCTGGAATAATTATTCTCGAACCGCTTTTATTAGACATAATAATAGCTCTTCCCCGCGACTTCGCCCGCGTGTTATTAAGGGTTTTAATATTTTTTATTTGCGCGGAATCCTAATTCTTTTTCTAAAATAAAAGTAGCCTAAGTTACTCCTTATGGCATCAGCTATCTGCCAGTGTGAGTCCCGTCAAAATCTGTCTAACCGTTTCGAAAATTAGCCGTAACAAACATACAGACAAAAATTTTAAAAATTGTAGTTTTTGTTATAAGCATAGAATTATTACGTAATAAGTAGTGTATATCTTTTATATGCATTTAGTAAAAAGCTGTAATTTTGAAATTACAAACGGGCACTTCAATTTTATTTATTTGTATAGATATAGATTACGGTAAAACCGGTTAGCGCAGTGTTGGCGCACCAGCCTCGGAACATCACCCCGAACGTGCCCTTGACCCGCCTCTTCCTACCTGCCGCAGCTGACATTTTCGATTGAATTCGTGTTACACTCATAATACTTCCTATTAAACTCACAGTGCTAGAATCGTTGTTATTAATTTCTTTCAAGAACATTATTTAACTCTTAAAATATTGTATTCTTCTTCATCAACACAGAACATTCCACTATTCTAGGCATAGATCTTTTCTATTGTCTTTGTTGTTAGTGCCACGATTGACATGTAAAATGAAGATCCTAGATAATTTTACTGCTAGACATAAGTTTTTTCAAGAATACACCTACTGGCATTCATTTCATTTGTTCTCAATCCCAATGAACAGACGAGTTTATATGCACAACAAAGCTGATAGCCTCGTACTGAATTATGCTTCCTGCTGTTTTTTTTAATTGATTTAAAAAAATTACCCTAAGAGAAACGCCTTTTTGCCAGTTATGTTCTTATCGCACAATTACTTACAATACTACGTTTGGTTAGCTTAGGGTTGTAGTAAGAGGTGTAGGTAGTAGTTGTTGTAAATGCTGAAATAACAACATTAATTACTCATCAAAATTACAGGACAAAGACCTCTTTAAATAATGAAACACCGTTGTTAGCAGTATTCTAACCCCAATTAATAAATTGTACACATTCATGTGGGGATAATGCATGCAATTTTCATTATGAAAAGGTAGCACGGAAATCGCAGCTTTTATAATATAATATTGTTGTTTTTTCTAGTACTATTTTTTATAGAATATTAGTGATAAATGAACTATGAATCCTTCTGATGGTGAGGGGCTACTACAGATCATCGCCACCTACAATTAACTTCAAGCAAAGAAGGAAGTCACAAATGCGTTATCACTTGCCTCCTGGGAATTAATATGAAATGTCTCACAAGCTGTATTATGTATCTTACCATTCTAAATTGAACGCAACACTAGGTGCGGTAGAACTACCTAAGCTAGAGGATAACGCCACCACAGAGAACTCAAAATATTTTGAAACTAAATTTTATTTAGGTTATCGAAGAATTTGCATACATTGTCCCAGTATTCATGTAAATAAATTTATGAATGTAATCGAGCTACGTATTTATAAAAACTTGACGTGGACAATAAATATACTCTAGTCCTTCCTCAGACAAGAAAATTTTGTCGATGTAACTTTCTTTAACGAAGCAAGTGTTTTATTAAGACACTGATAGAGCACTCCACAGGTGCGTTTGGAACACAAGAGACTCTTGTGACATTCTTGATGACTTCACGAAGCTTTCACTTTACGTCCTATTTCTGACAAAGTGGCCTCTTAACATTTCATGAAGATGAAAAGTAAAAATGGGGACAGCTTCATTTGCCCCAATAAATATAAAAATTAACTACGAGTATAAAATATCCGTACGAATCCACCCATGGTAAACGTATTATTATATTATAAGAATTTAGTAGCGTTAAATCATCAAAACGAATAAACATTCCACGGCTGCTGCGTCGCTAATAGTCGGGATTAAATAATATAATCCTCTATCTCTGTTTGATGCGTAGCGAAAACATCGTGAGGACACCCGCACATTTGGGACATTAAAATATTATTAAAATTTGTAAGATTATACAACCAACATATCTAAGTCACGGCACGTAAGTCTAGCGCTGAAAACGAAACGTGGAGGGGGCGCGCACGAATTGAATTGCACGAATGCGACTGGAGAGCCAATCAGCACGACTTATGCGGCAATAACGGTCACCGTTAGACTTTCGTACCGCTACTTTATACATACATAACCTTACGCCTATCATCTACTGTGGCTAGGTGGCATTTCATTTGGCATGATCCTGACACATCTCTATCACTTCTTTCATATCTATATATCTACGCACACATTCTCGTCGATTAAGGGTGGTACTCCTAATTTGGTTTACCTTCAATATATCGCCAATTTGATCGATAAACTGTGTCATGCTTTCTGGCCCGGCCACGGAGTTATATTAGCGAAAATTTAACACGTTAAACTTCCTTCTAGGGATCTAGGGCATCCCACACCAACACTATCGCTCACTTCTGCAGCGTTTTATATTTGCTATATCACTCTTTCATCGTTATTTCCACGTGTGAAAACCAGGAAAGTAATTCTTTCTTAATCCTAGTCGAAACATATATTTTTTTTAATTTGTTATTGGTAAAAATAGTAAGTATATATAGATATCACCCAAAACGAGAACAGTTTGGTGGCGAATTCTCACCATTTATCATCCTATTATTCAGTCAATCATTTCTCATCCTATTTATTATTCAGTCATAGTTCTGAATGACCGCATTTCTACAACATACTTTTTACTGTCATACTTCTGCAGCCACACTCAATTTTCACTATCATGGATTAAGGTAGCATGCTTTATCTGCTGCATTACCACTTACTATCCGGTGGGATAGTACTCAATCACTAGCTTATAATAGTAAAAAAAAGGTGAACAGCAATGTGAATTGCCATACACGTGGCTTTTTTTAACAAATTCTGACAGTGAGAGTGAAGAATCCCATTCACTCTGTATTCTGTCAACTGTTATCTATTCTGTGGTCCTGCATTCGTTATCGTTATGCTCAAAATATTTTATTTTACGTAACTTTGCGTGGATTTTAGCCATTCTTTATTTATATTATGATTTTTAATTATACATTAACATAAGATTTCTCCTAAACTATTCAACTAAACTAGTTTCTTGATACGTTACGTAAATCTTTATAAGTTTCTTTTTTATATATAAAAGTTCCGAGTGTTCACTTGAAAGTGAACGTAGAATCAAAGTGTAATATATTAGAATTTATAACGCTAACTTCAATGACCTACTTTAAATTCAGTGTTAGTGGGCACTAGGCAGGTTACAATTACCGCATGCAGGTTTTTTTCCTCACTATCTCTAAAATACAATATTTTAATGCAACTGTCAATGAATTATTTAACATTCTTGAATATTTCTTCATAGGTATACTCACATTGCACACACTCGAATAATCAAAATTGTCAAAACAAGCATAAAAAATCTAATTTTGCGCTGTAATGTCCATTGATTTTCCACTAAAGGCTTTACTACACCATACAATCTAGTGATTAGAATACCACTCAACAATTTTACTCTTTTTTTTTTTCAAGCCTGTTTTTAGTCATAAAACACTATACAGTGATATTTTAAATCTTGAGCTAGGACTTAAAAGGCTTGTCTTGCAAATTTAATGTAAAAAAATCAAAAATTTATGATTTTTCTGAATTCCGCAAAATACCAATAAAATTCCCTCATAGTTGCGTAAAATTTAATAACGTGAATGAACGTAAAGTGTACTTACTAGCAAATTAAGTCTTTCTATGTTTTGTAGGATGTATGTACAGCATGGCTGCTTTTGGTCCTGTACTTGGCTTCTTGCTTGGTGCCTACTTACTCTCCTTTCATATGGATTCCTTTTCCGGTACTATTATATCAATTGGTAAGTAGTTAGATTTTATTTTAAATTAAGAACTACGATTTTAAACGCTTATTGCATAGTAGATAGTAATAGATCTCGCAAATTAGGACAAACAGATTTTTATTCGTCGTTGATGTGTTCTTAGTTCTTTTAAGATGCTCTTAGAAATAGTTCACATAATATATATATAAATAAAAAGAAATCTAGGTTAAAATAATAATATTCAAAATAAAACTAATATTTATTAGTTATACGTTGAAAGATTTTTCGTCTTATTAAAACTAAACCGAACTATACAATTTCATAAGAAAAGAAAATTATGTCATAATTAATCTGTATTGTATTATTTACGTTATGGTTTTCTTAATAAAGATATCCACAGTAGAACTACACTAACCGAGATAGCTCATCGGACCAGTAACCTAAAATAGCAAGGGATATGGATATTATGTGATGATATGGATATAGCTCAAAGAATCGACAACCGATGGGGAAAAAAGGTTCTCAAGTGGCACCATCATACCGGTAAGCGATGTGTAGGGTGGCCCGCACTAGATGAAATGATGACCTGGTAAGACATGCAGACAGTCGATGGATGCAGGTGGCTCAGGACCATGCTTATTGACAGGACCTATGTTCAGCCGCGGACTTGTGTGTTAATGGTGATGACACAATCTGTAACTTCCTGAGTATGATGTACCCTTTATGCCAGGACTGTGTCTGTCTTTGCGATTACTCTGCTATATTGTTTCTCACGGGAAAAGTGTTAACATATAGATTTCTAGATAATTTTAAAATTAAATCGAGGGACATTGTTTTTCTTTCTACAGATCCTGGAGACCATCGTTGGGTGGGCATGTGGTGGGGTGGATTCCTCCTTTGCGGGCTGCTATTAATTTTAGTAGCTATTCCTTTCTTCTCCTTTCCGAAAGTATTGGTGCGAGAAAAGGAGAAAATACGATTGGTGGAAAAAGCCGCAGCTGCCAGCGGTTCCTCAACGAAACCACCTTCAAAACCCCAAACAGATATAAAAGATACCGGTTACGGGAAAGATATCAAAGGTAAAATAATTTTGAGTATTTTTATTCACCTTTGCTCAATCATATTTTTAACGACAGTACCTACTCTAAATCTACCTATAGATGTTTAAATTTTGTAATTATAAATACTAAAAAAACTAAATAAACATTTAAAAGAAACCCTACAAAGTTTCATATTATTTTATTGGGGGATATAGACGAAGAAAATGGCATAAACAAATGTTATCTTTATTCTTTAAATTAATCCCATCGAGGAATTTTTCCTGTATCTTGGAAACGTTTTTCACATATAGAATGCAATTGGACAACCATTCAGAACAAACATTGTAGGCCACCATACAACAACTTGTTCTATGCGGTAAAGGAACCCGCGGACTGTAGCGCCGTAACCTTAACATAAGACGGTATATGGTAATATAATTTGTATATTGGTGGATTATATTGTTCGGGTTCCTATGTACAATATAAGCCGCGCGCAGAAGTTTTGCCGATGATCATCCCCGCCACTGCCGTTGAACGCGTAGCGCGCTTCCACTTAACAACACTTCTGACGCGTGTCGTAATGATGCTATCGGAACACCGTCTTCGAGCGGTTTGTGTGTATGTTTAGGGTATTGAATGGAAAAGGGAACAACGACACCTAAATAACGTAGTTCCTAATGATCAACGAATGAGACTCTTGCAACCGACTGATGACGTAAAATCAATCCAAAAATGCTAAATCACAGACTAATGATGGCACACTACTAATGCGAAGATGTCGGTTGTACGCTCACCAACTCTTCGACCCAGAGTGGTGAGTATGAGCAGACCAAGTAATACATACCAACCAACTCTTTGTTACAACACAAAGGAAATTCACTTCAAATTCAGTCTCAGAAAAAAATTCAATTCTTGAACTGTTTTTCTCAGACATACCGGTATCGATGTGGCGTCTTCTCAAAAACCCTGTGTACGTGGTGACCTGTCTCGGAGCTTGTATGGAGCTGATGATAGTTTCCGGATTTGTTGTGTTCCTTCCTAAATACTTGGAGACACAGTTCAGCCTCGGAAAAAGCCAAGCTAGTGTTTTCACAGGTAAGTTTGTTTGTTTTGTCGTTAACTTAAGCATTATTAAAATTTTAAATTTAAAATGACTTTAATAAGCATTATTAAAAGTTATTATTAAAATATTTATCTATCCGTGTGTGTTGCCGTCTGGTGGTGGCATAAGAGAATCCACCACCCCATTTCACCACGTGTGTATAGTAAAGAAAGAAAGTTCTAGTATGTCCTTCCATAAATGGCGGAATATCATAGTATGTTAATTAAAAGATCCCTAGCCAGTGACAGCGTTGAATGTGCATAACATTAATGCAGTCGCCATTCCACCTTCCCAGCGTGACGAATACGACAAGACCTCTGTGGCAATGTCCCATATTCGGACTTAACGGGCTGATAAACATCTGTCAGTGATTTGTATATTTCGATTTTTAATTAAAGGATTCGAATACTGCCCCACGATGCAGTGAATTAGGATTACAGCTTGAATAGGTCAGGTCGGCTCTACCATGGGAAGGCCACGCTCATACAAAGTACAGGCGAAAAATATAACAGTGTTTTGAATGTTCAGAGGCGGGAAAAGAGTCTCTCTTTATCTGGTAACGAGGCATTTCATCTTAGTCCTTAGTAGTCACACCGGCATAATCAAGCCACACCACAGGAAACACTTACCATCAGGTGAACTGTGCAATCGTGTGTCACCCATAATTTCTATTATAAAAAAAACAATATTTCACTATACTAGCATGTTGTTAAATGTATAAAAATGGTAATGAAAATATTCATCGACAGCAACCCTTATTTATTCCAAGGCACGTTTTCTCTTTATTGCACCCTGTAAAGCTTATCTTAATCTCCCTATCTTGCATTTCACGGTGTCATTTCATTATTGTTGTAGTAGATACTGATAATATTCAGATTTCATTTATGTTTTTTTTTAGTGGTTTATGTAAAAACAACATATTGAATAGCCTGTGATAATGTAAGGTTTAGTGTTTCGATTATTGTAAGAACAGTAAGAGAGGCGTCTTAGGGTGGGGACTCAACTTTAAGTTCATAGACTATATATTGGTGATTCTAAAATTCTGATGATTATAATTCTAAACAGAATAATTCCGCACGTGGCGGCCTTCTTGCATACCCTACTACATACCTATTTTCTAAAAAAAAAGTTTCAGACGCTTGTGCCCAGCAATCGGATATTAAGACTTAAAAGTTTTTGTTATTCTAAACTAAAAACCTATGTATATTTGAGAAAAGGAAAGAACTGCGACAGAAAAGTTTCTGTCTCGACAGATACGTAAAATTTCCCTATATAACTAACATATTTTTATTTTAACTATCTCGAAACACAAGGTCCATAAAAACTAAAATTTTACTTAATTTTGTTTTTAAATTTAGAAGTCCGCACGAGAAAAACGTGGTTTCCCTAAGTAATATTTTTACACGTTTAATAATTACAGGTTCCATAGCGATTCCAGGAGCGTGTATTGGCATATTCATGGGAGGATGTTTATTGAAGAGGCTAGAATTGCGACCGAAGGGTGCTGTGCAATTTGTGTTGATTTCTAACACGATCTGCCTCTCATGCTACGCTCTTCTGTTCTTCCTCGGTTGCGACAACATCAAGATGGCCGGCACTACTATACCGTATACCAATAACAGGTAGGTACCCGGTAGTAGGTAAGAACTGTATAAATGTTAAATTATTTTACAGGCGAGTAAATTAATTTAATTTTTATACAGTGTTTTAATAAAAATACTAAACACAATAGCGACATACAGACCCATAGTTTATATCATAGGTTTTTTAGAACATAATGGTATATATATTAATAAAATATGTACTATTATGTTGCTGTTACAGGGCAGTATCTTTGTGGATATCGATATATAAGTATAAAGATATAAATCTAAATTGCAGTGAAACAAGTACATGTGTCAATACAATAATCGTTGAGGATAGAATTTTAACAAGTGACAAAAATGTCATTCATTTGTTTTTTCCTCATTATTTTTTTCTTTGGCGTCGCTTATTACCGCACAATTGAAAACATGAAATATCAGTATATTTACGAGTACGAGTTCTACCGTGGCACCAGTGCTGCAGAAACAGCTCGAAGAATTAATGATGTGTACGGCGCTAGTGTCGCAAAAGAAAGCACGGTACGTTTTTGGTTTCAACGTTTTCGTTCTGGAAATTTCGACCTTCAGAACCAACCCCGTGGACAGCAGGAGACTAAAATGGAAAATGAAGAATTAAAGGCTATTGCGGAAGCGGATCCATCACAAAGCACTTCAGAGATAGCTGCAGGCTTAGGGGTAAGTGATAAAACTGTATTAATCCACTTGAAGCAAATCGGGAAAGTAAAAAAACTTGAGCGATGGGTACCTCATAAATTGAGTGAATCGAAGTTGCAAACACGCGTCGACTGCTGTGTTACTTTGCTCAACCGACACCACAATGTAGGGATTTTAAATCGAATCATTACTTGTAATGAAAAGTGGATACTGTACGATAATCGGAAGCGCTCGCCGCAATGGCTGAACCCTGGAGACCCAACCAAATCCTGTCCTAAAGGAAAATTCACTCAGAAAAAGTTACTTGTGAGTGTTTACTACTGGACTAGCGCCGGTGTCGTTCACTACAACTTTCTAAAATCTGGCCAAACGAATACGACAGATATCTATTGTCAGCAACTGCAAACCATGAAGGAAGAACTAGCTGCTAAACAATCGAGATTGGTCAATCGCTCGTTGTCGTGAAGCAGCAATGGTCTACCATTGCTGCTTCATGACAACGCAAGACCACACACTGTACAACAAACAACCACTAAGTTAGATGAGCTACAATTGGAATGTCTGCGACATCTACTGTACTCCCCAGACTTTGCTCCAACAGATTACCATTTTTTCCGGAATTTGGACAACTTCTTACAAGGAAAAAAATTCAACTCCGATGCAGCAGTCCAAACCGCCTTCAAAGTGTTTATTGATTCTCGCCCCCATGGTTTTTTTTTTAGTAAAGGGATGAATGAACTATCTATGAGATGCCAAAAGTGTATAGATAACAACGGTGCATACTTTGATTAATTAAATATATTTTACAAAAAAAATTGACTTTATATTCCTCCCATACAAAACGCCAATTTCATATGTAAGGATAATATATCGATCATGCTTATTTTCATTTTCTACTGACTTCAAAAAGGAGACGGTACTCAATTGGACTGTATGTTTCTTTTTTGTGTGGTACCTCATAACTTTTTTCTAGGTGAACCGATTTCGATGATTCTTTTTTTTTATTTGAAAGCTGGTGCTTCTCATGTGGTCCCATATAAATTTGATCAAGGTCTGACCAATAGTTTCGGAGTTATTCTTGATAATTTATAGTGAAGTCGGTTGTACAATATTTTTAATTTTTTTATTCATTATTAGTAATACCTGTATGTTAGAAGTGAAGTATAAGACGTGCATCGTTGGTCCGTGCAGCAACTTGGAGCCGTTCAAGGTGAACCTGACGGCGGCGTGCAACTTCAATTGCCTGTGCACGGAGACGGACATGGAGCCGGTGTGCGGCAACAACGGCCTCACCTACTTCTCGCCCTGCCACGCCGGCTGCGCCGCCTTCTCCTCGCGCTCCAACTTCACCAACTGCGCCTGTCAGTTACACATATTGCTATTTTAACTCTGATATTTTATTGCTCTCTGGGTTTTTATTAATGTAACAGACAAGCATACAGTCCACGTGATTGTAAGTAGCTACTGCAGTTTATGGACACCTGCAGCCATGTTTATTCGAAAATGCTACAAATGCCTTTTTAAGATGGAATGCCTTGCAGTCAATAATTATACTCCATCTCTATACTCTTCGGACTGCTTCACAGCAATTCAAGCACTACTATTAGGCGGTGGAAATAGGCAAAGCGATAGTCCTATCAATCAGTAGAATATTCCAGATTTTATTTTGTTTGAATACAAAAAGCTGGATTTTATAATAAATTGATGTCTATCGAATGTGTGTATGTATATATATATATATATATATATATATATATATATATATATATATATATATATATCCAATTATTTGTATTATTTTGTTTGAATATAAATAGCTGGATTTTATAACACATTCATGTATATCGAGCTCGATTATAGATAAAAGTTATGCGCTGCGGCAGTGGTTCCCAAACTTTTTCGGTTCGCAGCGCCTTTACAGGTTTAGTATATTGTCTCGGTGCCTTAGCTAGTTGAAATAGTGTACAATGATACTAGGTAAATATGTACAAGTTGCGAAAGTAGTTAAAATTGGCGCATCAGGGCGCTGCGGCGCACACTTTGGGAACCCCTGCGCTGCGGCGTCTTTTCTGTCTAAAAGTTCCCAAGCAGAAAAGGATTCGTACTTTTTTATAGGATGAGGGTGACAAACGAGCACACAGTCCATCTCATGGTACGTAAGTGGTTACTGCGGCCTACAGACATCTACATTTATCTTCGATTACAAACCAAAATGCAGATGCGTTGTCACCCGTGAGGACTAAGATGGAATTCCTCATTTCCAGTAAAAAGGGTCTCCGGTTCTCTACACACAGCAGCGTTAAGCTGCTATTTTACGCTGGTATTCTGTGAGAGCGTGGTCCTTTCCCGGTCGAGCCGACCCATTCGTGCTACAACTATACCACTAATACAGCTGCAGCATGGCTCTACCATGTGAGAAGTAGAGTGTAACGGGACTCGGTTGTTGCAGGCGTGCACGAGAACAGCCGCGGGTCGGGCGGGGGCGGGGGCGCGGGCGCGGGGGCGGGCGCGGTGCTGGGCGGCGCGGCGGCGGCGCTGAGCGCGCAGTTCGGCGACGTGACGGTGGTGCCCGTGGCCACGGCCGGCGCCTGCAACCCGCCCTGCACCACCATCTTCCCCTTCCTCGTGCTGCTCTTCTTCATGACCTTCGTCGTCGCCGTCACGCAGATGCCGCTGCTCATGATCGTACTCAGGTAACCCATACTACCATTTTTTATTGATGAAATAAGCGTGACCAACGACAACACGCTCTACTTAATGGTAGGTAGTCACTGGGGCCAATTTACACCTACATCTAAACTCAATTAAGAACCAAAATGTAAGGGCGTTGTCAGCCCTGAAGGCTAAAATAGAATGTCTCGTTACCAGTAAAAAGGATCTCCGACTCCTTATACTAACTATAAGAAAAAGAGCAACATTAAGCTGTAGTATTACACTAATATTATGTGAAAGCGTAGTCTGCTGCAACTATAATATACCTACAATGTGACTCTACCACGTTAAAAATACTCAAATTGACTCTCCGGCTTTGCATCGCTCGCGAAATATTTCCAGCAGTATATCTAAAAACCGAACTAAAATTTTAAATAAAATGAAACTGTATTTTATTGATTTCCCCCATATAAATAAAATGATAATAATATGTACGACGCAGAGAGATTCGCAAATAGAACGTTTTTTAAGACACTGACCAGTTGTAATTTATTTTGATAGTATATATAGTTTGTTATGATTATTTACAAGTAAAAATACGATTGTTTCTATTTCAAACTAGCTGTCCTCCGCGACTTCGCCCAGATTTTACTACGATTTCATGAGTTTTAATTTTTTTGCGCGAACTCTAATTCTTTTTCTCAAATGAAAGTATTGTAAGTTACTCCTTATAACATCAACTATCTACCAGTGAAAGTCAGACAGACAGACAAAAATTATAAAAATTGTGTTTTTGTTATAAGTACTGTATATACTTTCATATGCATTTAGTAAAAAGCTGTTATTTTAACATTACAAACAAACACTTCAATTTTATTTATTTTTATAGTGGACAAATATCTAAACCCGGACCAATTATTTATCGACAATTCACTTTGTCTTCGCAGCACTGCCGCCGAGCGCTTCTTATGCTTTTTAGTCACACAAAACACAACTTATAATAATGCTCATATGCAAGAATGTATTTTTCCATTCTATTCGTATTAATTATAGTATGTTTTCAGATCCGTTAGCGAGGAGGAGCGTTCGTTCGCTTTGGGAATGCAATTCGTCATATTCCGACTGTTCGGTTACATTCCGGCGCCGATCGTCTTCGGCAACCTAATCGACTCCACGTGCATCTTGTGGAAGCAATCATGCAGTGGCGAGAAAGGCGGCCGCTGCCTGCTATATGATATTGAACAATTCCGATATAGGTATTTATTGTCTAACTTTTTTATCACATACGATCCAACATAAATACTAACCTAGGATTAGCTAATGTTGTAATATAATACGAGCAGCTGCTTTTAACACTAGTTTTAGAAGTTTTTTGAACGCCCAATGATTACTATGATATTCACGTATTGGGCTTTTGTTTCTAATCTTAGGGATTTTCTTTAACATTTAGCTGTAGTCCTAATATTTGTCCACCAATTTTTTAATCAAAACAATTACGAAAAACTAAATACGTAACATTGGGTCAAACTTTATTCATAGGATTTTCTCAAAGCGTTCTTACGATCATTGGTGTCATAAAATTATTTAAAATATACTCAGGCTATTTCTATCTTTGACGTGTGTTGGAGGCGTACATGGGGGAATCCATTACCTCATTTCGCCGTGGTATATACGGTATTAACATCAATGGCGAGTACATCACTCACCTTCGATTTGCCAACGATATAGTCCTTATGGCAGAATCGCTGGAGGACCTAAGCACTATGCTCAATAACCTCAATAGTGCCTCCCAACGGATAGGTCTTAAGATGAACATGGACAAAACAAAGATTATGTATAACGTCCATGTCACACCTATAGCGGTAGTTGTTTTGAGGCCTAAGCTCAAAGTTGTTGACGAATATGTTTACCTGGGACAAAATTGCTGGAGGACCTAATCACTATGCTCAATAACCTCAATAGTGCCTCTCAACGGATAGGTCTTAAGATGAACATGGACAAAACAAAGATTATGTATAACGTCCATGTCACACCTATGCCGGTAGTTGTTTTGAGCCCTAAGCTCAAAGTTGTTGACGAATATGTTTACCTGGGACAAATAGTCCGACTAGGTAAGTCCAACTTCGACCGAGGTCAATCGACGGATTCAACTCGGCTGGGTAGATTTTGGGAAATTACGACACATCTTCTCGTCAGGTATACCTCAAAAGTTGAAAACGAAATTGTACAACCAGTGCGTGTTACCAGTGATAAATTATGGATTCTGAGACGTGGTCCTTCACTGCTGGCCATTTGAGGAAGCTCAAGGTCGCTCACCGAGCTATGGAGAGGGCTTTATGCTGGGGGTTTCTCTGCGTGATAAACTTAAAAATGAGAGTATCCGCAGTAGAACCGGAGTTACCGACATAGCCCAACGGATTAGTAAGCTGAAGTGGTAATGGACCAGCCATGTGGCTCGAAGAACCTACAAATGATGGGGAAAAAAGGTTCTCGAGTGGCGGCCTCGTTCCGGCGGGCGAAGTGTAGGGCGTCCCCCACTAGATGGAGTGACGACCTGGTGAGATATGCAGGAAGTCGATGGATGCAGGTGGCTCAGGAGCGTGTTTTGTGGCATTCCTTGGTCCCCCAAGGAAGCTGTTTAGCAGTGGACCTGTGAAGGGCTGTAATGATGATGGTGGTCGTAAGAGGCAAATTATTCAAAATTTCAAAGAAGATATAACGATTCCATCCATGAACCATCTCAATTACGCCAAATGTAAAACACACCCTACAGACGCGCAACAGCGTCAAAAGTTGAGAGATGTTTGGCACTGCAATCGTCAATGCACTTTCCAAGCATGACTATCAAGGCAAATCCTTCCTATCACTGTTCATATCCAGCACAGATTTTAAGAGACTAATACAAACAAGAAGAAGATAATATTCTCTTTATTATTGTATAAGTTTGGTGTTTGGGAGAAAGATTCTCAAGTAGTAGCCTCGTAACGGTAAGCGAAGTGTATGGCGGCCCGCAATTGATGGAGTGACGACCCGGTACGAGATGCAAGAAGTCGATGAATGCAGGGAACCATACTTTTGTGACATTCCTTGGGGTAGACCTAATTGCAGCGGTGAACTTGTGTACAAACAATCAAGTCTGGCAACTTTACCAATGGAAGTTAACTTTGTCATCACAGATGTACAGATACAAAATTACAATTAACACGGACAACGTAACGTTTTTCGAGAAATGCCATTTTTTGGATGAAAATTTAATAACTAATTGACAGCATTGTTTTCGATATGGCAACATAAGAGTTGATTTTGGCATTTCATTTTAACGCGCTTAGGAAGATGCTGCGTATCATCTTCTGTTTCAATTTCCCTCTGTCGCCTCTTACGACGCCCACAGGACGATATGGGGTAGGGGGTATTCTTAAAACGCCACTATACGACACGGCAAGGCACCAATATTATTACTAAAGCACGGTCGTGGAGCAGGAATTTTTTATTGCTTTGCATTTTTGAACTTAAATCCCATCATAAAAAGTTTTATTTCTATTACAACTAATATAGTTTTAGGACCTTTTGAACAGTATTTGTGATTCGAAAACCGAGTTTATTTTCATGTTATTAAAGTTCACATTTGTATGAATTGCAATGATTTGATATTCTTCCTGCTCCGCTATCACGCCATATACTCAGTATTTTTCTTATTTTCAACTTAGTGTTGATATTAATTTGCACCCAAAGAACAATGTCGTTTTTAATTTATATAATTATTATATTATGTGGTAAACTTACCTTGATCCTTGAAGTTAAATCCTATATACATATTCATTAAAACTGATGGCATGGTTGCCACATAGTAAGGTTAACTTTGCCATTTTCTATTTTGGTGTATTTTCTTCCAAATCATATACAATGTCACATTTAACATTGACACCCAGTCTGAGGATACCTTTTTTGTTGGAAAATTGGTTCTAGTTTTTTTATTTAAGTCCTTCCAAATATGGCAAAGTTGCCAGGTTTTACGGTAATGATGATGATGATAATAATGATGAGTTGTTTGATGTATATTATGATTTTATTTATCATGCTATGATTTAGGATTCAACAGAAGTAAAAAAAAAAATATTCGTTCTTATTTCTTTTTTAATTTTTTACATATCATGTCAACAATGAGTTTAACAGTATGCCAGCAATTCGGGGCTCTAAATTAATCTAAAACTAATCGAAATCGAAGAATTCTAAATGTCTGCAAAATTAAAAAATATATATTTTGAAGACATGCCAACACACATCGGAACTTCGCGGCGGTCGATTTCTTGCTCTAAAACCCTACCAGAAATAAAAGGAGGCCTGTTCCCAGTTGGACTTATTACGTTAGTGCTGAACTTCACATAAACTTTTGGGTTAATGTTAATATATTATATAAGCATTCAGTAATATGTAACTTACCTTTTTACCTATAATTATTATTATATTTCAGGTATGTGGGTTTATGCGGAGGCATAAAAATTGTAGCACTGGGCATATTCCTCGCAGACTGGTGGCTGGTACGGCGACGCCGACATCTGGAGACCACTGCGCCATTAGACCCACACAAAGATATCGCCGGCTCTATCATCAGCTTGGACAAACGTATGTTAACATTATATTGTCATTACAAGTTTCACAATTTCAAGATTGGCACATAAGCTACGAATCAGTAACCTAAAATGGGCCGGACATATAACTCGATTGACCGACAACCGATGGGGAAGAAAAGTTCCCGATTGGCAGCCATCACTCCATCTGGAGGAGGCTGCCCATTTTAAATGGGGAAATACCTACACATATCGAAGTCGCGGTAGTAAGGACGAACTATATTGGACTTACACTGACTAAAATCTCATGGTGTTCTACCTTCGCTGCATATTAGCAGGGCCACGGGAACGTTTTCGCATGAACACCGGCCGCTTCATGGCAGCCCCTACTGCCAGGCGGGCCAGGAAAAAACGAGCACTCGAAAGCACCAGCCTACCTGACCCCAACGGCGGGTCTGGTTTATGGCTCGCCGCCAACCAAGTTCCGCGGAAAGTAGGAAAGAGCGGCGCAATACCGACACTCCCCTCCCTCCGCTCAATTTTGAATTTGATATCAGAAATTAAAAACTCAACATTACAATAACGTTCGGACAACAAAAACACACACATCGTCTTCTGGTACTCTGCCTGTAAAGCGTAGCAAATCCTACCTATTGTGAGACTATAGATGATAGTTTATGAGTTAATGAGAAATGACTTTGTTTGTTCAATGTGTTTGTTTGTTTGTTTTGTTTTTTTTTTGTAATGGACTTTTTTGTACTTTTGCCTGTGTCAAGTATATTATGAAATTATCCTTTATAATAATTTGTATCAAAACTTCTTCACAATATGTTGATGCGTCAAATTGTGAAGCTTTTGGGTGATTTTGACGGCAGTTTGAGCCAGTAGAGAGTCGATGACAAAGTGTCTCATGGCACCTAAGCATTATCTTGAGGTTCACATCACCATCGGTCCTCTTGTTTCATCCTTTCACATTTATTACACAAAATAGCACTACTTTTACATATAAAAATCTGCTTAAAACTATTATTTAAACAATAATACACGAGTAGCAATCCGCTGCTAAAACTTAAAGGAAACAATTTACATAAAACTGTTTTCCTAAATCAGAGATTATCAAACATTTATTTTACCGCCCCTTTTGAAAATCAGTCATTTTCAACGCCCCCAATTTTTTATACACTCCTAAAACTTAACCGATTCGTTGCGGCACCAATTTTCGACAACTTTTAGCTGTGGCGGCGAACAAATATTTCATCACAAGCCGGGCGTGTCAAGCGCCACAGACAACGCCTATTGTGCCATCCGCCATGTGTAAAAGTAATGTTCTTTTTTATGTTTTTTTTTACTTGTTTAGACCTAATTAAGTTTATTTGACATCAAACATAAGTTACAAATGGAAGGATACTTGTTTTTAGTGGGTAACTACGTGTTTTTTTACGCGTTTTCTTTGAAATTGAAAGAAAGTGACGTTTTTTATGAAGAGATTACAAACCTTTTGTACTATTTTTTGTTGTTATAAAAAATCATTTATATAAGTAGGTACAGCTAAATCACCCTGGAAACCTTGGTTTTTATTAAATTAAATTTTCACTTAATAATAACATTTGTAAATACCAAACAATGAAGAACCTTAATTTGCAAAAAAAAGGTATATCATTCATTGATATTTACAAATGTTAAATATTATTTAATGTTATACAAATGTAAAAGTAAAGTCGATCTGAAAACGTCTAATTAGTAAGAATAGCAAAACAAGTGTTTACAAAAGGAAAAAAAAGCCGGCGCTATACGGCGGCGGATTGACAAAAGACTATTTATTAGCGAACTTTTTTTATGCATGAACGGTTTTGAACTGTTTCAAGCAAAAATAAACCTTATACCATATCACAAGAGCACATGGTACTTCGTAGGTCTATTCGGCCATATGATAGTAATAAGACGGCAGTTCAACTTGTTACGGCCTACGGCTGCTCCCTTAAAGGTCAAATCCTCAGGGGCCCATTCAGCTGAGTTTCGACGAGCAGACGTAGGTCGGGCCTCCTCCAGGCCAAGGTGGAAAATCTCTAATTACAATAAACTATATGGGGGAGCGTTCTATACTACTGCCAGTCGACCGGGAGGATATTAGACGGAGCTTACTTACCTATATCCAAGGCGACTGGTCCCTCCGGAGTCGGTCAGGTCGCATGTGGTTGTGTAGTGCAAGGGAAATAAGGTGATGTGATGTGTATCTGGGTGTGACTGATGGTGATTGACCCTAGACCTTGGCCGTTGGCAGCACCCCGGGCGTCGACACCGCTCCAAATTGAGGGCACCTTCCGCAGCGTTGTCTACAGTCACTTTCCTCGTTTGTTATAAGGTTAACGCACAAAACTAACACGGAGTGTCCGGATCAAAGGTCACTACCGTTTCGCGTAGCAACAGTTATTTCTAGAATATCAAAGGCCGCACTAGCTAATATTGTCGAATGCACTTATACAGATTCTGAGTCGGACCCAATAAGTCCCGGGAAAGGCTATCCAACAAGGAATTCGCGTTATAAATCCTAAACAGGATGTTTACTAGACGTCTAAACTATTCCGCGGTTCCCGAACAAAATTGACAGTGTGCTGACGTTAGCACCGCTGACAGACGACTCACTGCACTCGCGCGCGCTCGACACATCCAACTGTCAACCGGTATGGCACCGAGTCGCGCGCCCCCTAGACGTCGATTCCGACAACAGCGTTTGGCGCGAGCAAACCCCCGTCCCGGACATAAGGATTTAGGTCCGCGAGCAAACCGGTCAGCGGGACAAGGTCGCGACGGCAAGTTGCAAGACCGAATCTACAACCAAACTAGGCCACCTTAGGCACCCCATCAGATCTTGCAACCCTAACCAACGCCTCAAAATTACCGCCCCAACGTGGTCAAGCCGGAGGGTTGAACTGGATGCCCTTCCTGGACATCGCAGTCCATAAATAAGTCCTATTCTGGTTCACTTAGCGGTTCACTAAGTGGTTCACTTAGCGGTTAGCCACCGTAGAGTCTATATCACCTGAGGATGCCTCGTGTAGAGGCGAAACACGTGTCGTATTATCGTCAGTGGTGTGTCTTGCCTAGTGTAGTAGTGTTGGGAGTAGCGGTGCTGGGATTAGCGGTGACGGGGTTAGTACACGCAATTGAGGGAGGGCGGGAGGTGCTTCTTCATACTAGGTAAGACACATCATTTTATTTTATAACGCGGATATTTGCGAAGTAAATTTTTGTAAAAGCTTTTATATAATGGATTTCCGCAAAGTAACGCCTGATTCTATTAATTAAATTAAACAAAACAATAACGTAAGAGACAGCCCTATTTCTCATTTACGTAACTTAGACAGTGCCAACAAAATGTAAACCAAAGGAGAATTGACTTTTATTTACCTCGGCACAAATAGGGTTATCTAATTTCAGCCTTCTTTTTCACAAGGCAAAATGATTAAACACTATCACAAAACATATACATAATTTTCCAAATAGCGCGACATTCAATTTCAAATGAATTCAAATTTTCTTTTCAGCAACCAGGCGCAACAATCAAATGCAGTGATTAAATATATTTACAAAACATATGCAGCAGCATTTAAAAGAGTAGATTAAATTCAATTCTTTTAATCACAACCGCTACAAATAGGAAAATTTCGCGGAAAGCCCAAAGCATTTTTTAATTTTAATTCAAAGAATTTTTAACTAAGTGCTCGACCAAACCAATCTAATACCCCTTGACAGCGTGATTCCACGCTCCAGGGGGCCCTAATCTTCCCACCACCAAGTGGAGGCCACACGGCGTGAACCCGAGACCAATAGAGCGCGAACCGCTAACAGTCGCCACTCGGGTTGTACGCATTCACTGAGGCCGTCGGCAACAGACCATTTTGACAAGTGGACCAACCAACGCTCCCTGCCACGAGAATTGTTTAATTTTTATCAAACACTATGGTCGGGATCTACCGGGGAATCGAACCCGCAACCGCGCTCTGCTACCAGCTTGTTACGGCCTACGGCTGCTCCCTTAAAGGTCAAATCCTCAGGGGCCCATTCAGCTGAGTTTCGATGAGCAGACGTAGGTCGGGCCTCCTCCAGGCCAAGGTGGAAAATCTCTAATTACAATAAACTATATGGGCTCCCCCATAGCTTCTATACTACGGACAGTCGACCGGAAGGATATTAGACGGAGCTTACTTACCTATATCCAAGGCGACTGGTCCCTCCGGAGTCGGTCAGGTCGCATGTGGTTGTGTAGTGCAAGGGAAATAAGGTGACGTGATGTGTATCTGGGTGTGACTGATGGTGATTGATCCTAGACCTTGGCCGTCGGCAGCAGCCCGGGCGTCGACACCGCTCCAAATCGAGGGAACCTTCCGCGGCGTTGTCCACAGTCACTTTCCTCGTTTGTTATAAGGTTAACGCACAAAACTAACACGGATCAAAGGTCACTACCGTTTCGCGTAGCAACAGTTATTTCTAGAATATCAAAGGCCGCACTAGCTAATATTGTCGAATGCACTTATACAGATTCTGATTCGGACCCAATAAGTTCCGGGAAAGGCTATCCAACAAGGAATTTGCGTTATAAATCCTAGACAGGATGTTTACTAGACGTCTAAACTATTCCGCGGTTCCCGAACAAAATTGACAGTGTGCTGACATTAGCACCGCTGACAGACGACTCACTGCACTCGCGCGCGCTCGACACATCCAACTGTCAACCGTTATGGCACCGAGCCGCGCGCCCCCTAGACGTTGATTCCGACAACAGCGTTTGGCGCGAACACAACCATTTTAAGCAAAATTAAACAATAAGACAAACGCATTGTTTTTTTTAACAGGAGACTTGTTTTCCAGAAATTTATTTACATCTTGAGTTTGTGAGCGATCGCAATGAGTGCTATTATTTGTTACTTATTAGACAATTTTTCCATAACATGATTTAAAGCCCACAAAGTTATAACGATTTTTAAAAAGACACGACTCGCGTGTCATACGCCACACACAAAAGTAATCGATGGCACGCCTGGCGTGTCATCCGCACTGAACCGGTTGAAAACCACAATTTCATTACTTTAATTAATTTAGTCATGGTGTGCTATATTAGTCGGTTCTGGTATTTAAACTTACATTGTAAACTAAACATTATTACTAGTGAGAGCAATTAAAACACAACTTTATAATATTAAGAATATATTTTAATCAAATTAAAAGAAACAATATAGATAGGTAATCAATTTTAGTTTTAAAACTAATCTAATACGATAGATGAATTTGATGATTTTTAACAAGTTTTTTGATATCATGTTCGATTTTACTTAAAAACAGTCGTAAGTCGCCGCGTTCGGTAACATGCAAACGATTTCTTTTTTTAGTAAGCAGCGTTGTCACAGCCCTAAATCCACGTTCACACAAATATGACGATGGGAATGCTATCAAAAATCGTTGAACCATTGACCACAATGCAGGGTACAACTGCGGGATTGACTTTTCTTGGTAGCAATTTTTATTTTGATTTTTATTTTCTCGTTCGTTGTCAGTTCTATAAGTTCTTCTTCTAGTTGGGGTGATACTGCTATGTTGACATTTGAAAAAGGATCTAACACCCAGTCTGGTATTTCCAATTTCAAAATATCCTGAAATCTTTTAATGAAATCACTGGAGATTTTCCATTCCAAATGTTGCCAGTAGACAAGCAAGTCGTCGTTGTTGCAGGATACTGATAAATTGGAAAAATTATGGAACTTCACGTCTGCCGATATTCTTTTTGTGTAAGAGCAGCTTCGCTACGAAAGCAGCGACGCTATTTTTTGTTTTTATTGAGTTCAAGTCATCGCCTTGAAGTTGGAGATTCATATTATTAAGCAATTTATAAAGGTTTGTCAGGTATGCAATATCATTCTTTGATGTGATGAAGTTGTCGCGTAATTCTGTATCTTTGTTTTCCAAGAACTCTAAGACAGAGTCAAACAGATTGTAAAATCGAGTTAGACAATTTCCTTTTGATAGTCAACGCACTTTTGTGTGAAAGATCAATTGGTGGAAATCTTCATCATTAGTAACACAAAGCTGATTAAGTAATCTGTCATTTAAAGAGTTGTTTCGGATTTTATTGACTACCTGATGACATGTTGCAATGATTGAAACAGTCGTTCACTTAAATTTCTAGCAACCAAATGTCGATATATAACGCAATGTACAGCAAGCACTTCAGGAATTTTGTTTTTTAAGTACGCTATGAAGCCTTTTTGATACCCCGTCATAGCTGGAACACCATCTGTAGCAACTGATATAATATTCTTTAAGGGAATTCCTTTTTCATCACAAAACGTTTCCAGTGTTTTAAATATGGTTTCTCCTTTCGTGTCTGTCTCTAAATTTATAGCAAATAATATTTCTTGACATATTTTTTCTTCTTTAATAAACCTCACGGAAGACAGCAATAATGTTTCATTAGTTGGTAAAGTGGACTCATCCAACTGAATTGAAAATTGACTAGTCTATTGACTCCACAATGACTCTTCAATGTTTTCAGTCATTTCATCAATTCGTCTTTGCACAGAATTATTGCTCAAAGGAATTTTTCGAATTATGTCTACCTTCGGTTTATGGAGCACAGTAGTTATAACTTCTTTTATTGCCGGCAAAATTACCGTTTCTCCGATGGCGTGTGGTTTACCTGTTTGAGCAATTAACAAAGAGATGTTGTATAAAGCTCGAAGTCCGTCATCGTCTTGCTTAGCAGCCACCGAAAAAAGTTTTGATACACTTGACTGAGCATTATGCTTCTTTTCCAAGTCTTGAAAATAGGCTACATTTTTGTCCTTCTTTTCTGGATGCATTTTATTCAAATAATCTTGAAGTCTTGAAGGCTTTATCGCTTCGGTTGAAAATGTTTTTGAACAAAGAAGGCACAAAGGCAAAGATGGATTTGTCGAATTTACTATGAATCCATAATTAATATATTCTGCACTATATTGCCGTCTCTTCTTTTTTGCTTCCGGCTTTGTTTTTACAAATATGTAAATAAAATTTTAAACTCAAATACTTGTTTAAAGATTGCGCGCGAAACCACTAATGAAAATATAACAAATTAATACGAGCTTTTATATAGGATTTAAATACAACATGCACCGACAGGAATAAGACTAAACACGCGCTAACTCGTTTATCGCTTTCGACGCTAAATCGCACTGAGCAAAGTTAAGACAAGTATCAATGAACCAGCCGATTGCTACCGGATTGCACCAATAGCGTTATTTAACAAAAACTTGTTACAACTTGATTGCCTACGGCGTACGGGCTATCCTACGAAATCTATGTTAAGTATTTCTAGTTTATATACTCGTACATCGTACAGGGCAGAAATATAAACTATTTCTTCGATATTGAGTAGTAGGTAGGTTTTAATTTTAGTAAATTTTAATATATAAAGTATCTAAATGAAATTACAAATCAACCAACGCCCCTAAACCACGCCCCCCCCCCATTTTTTCTGGGTCCCTTAACGCCCACAAGGGGGCGTTATCGCTCGCTTTGAGAAAGACTGTCCTAAACCTATGACAATGTTTCTTATCAAATAACAATTTGCTTGCGCATGTGGCAGTTTTCGAGGAGCTCCCGTCGGCGGAGAACGCGAGCGGGTTCCGGTCGGCGGTGACGTCGGGCCCGAGCTCGGCGAGCACGACGCCGCTGGAGCCGAGCGAGGCGGCCGAAGCGGAGCGCAGGCGGCTGCAGCGCACTGAGTCGCAGTACTCGCACGAGTCGCACGCGCGCGCCGCCAGCTCGCGCGTGCTCGTGGCCTCGCGCCACCTCCGCAACGACTCCAAGACCATCCAGCTGGAGCCGCGCGCGCGCCACCACTCGCACCAGCACTCGCGCCACCACTCGCTCGACGAGCCGGAGCGCCCCTTTCCGCGCTCCGTGTCGCACTCGCACTCGCGCAACGACTCCAAGCCGCATTCGCGCTCCGATTCGCGCGACCTCAGTCTCGAGCAACTCAAGCAACTCGCCATCAAAAGCATGGAGAGCCTCGACCTCACCGTGCTCCCGCTCACCAAGTGCGTTGACGAGGAAAGCAAACGACTCATAGAAGGAAGCGGCGTACTCCGACATCGCCGCACCGGCTCCAGGGACCTCAAGCCTCCGGATACGAAGCACAAGCGAACCTCGTCACACCACATCACAATGGAGCCCAACGAGCTCAGTCTTCAGATGCACAAGGGTCGTAGCGTCGATCAACTTGCGACCTCTCCGCTCGATCCGCGCGTGTGAAACATCCTTTAGAAAAATTTAAAGAACTATATATGCATTTAGTGCAATATGCAAATTTAACTAAGTGATAATATGTCACGAGAACCCTCAGTGAGATACAGTGTTCTCAGTTGATCTTAATTTATGATTCCTCAGTTTTAGCAAATGTGACAATTTGAAGTGAGACAAAAACTTATTAGTGAAATTATAAAGTAAATTAATTTCGGTTACAGTGCTGCAACTATATTAAGTAAAGAAAAAATATTTTATGCACTATGCAGTGTGGCGAATAGAAGAAATAATTTATATTTACGTTATTATTACAATGTCTAATGAAGCCTAACACTTTTTAAAAGCACATAAAAACTGATGAAAAAATCTTGTGTATAAATTAATTCATCTATTATGTTCACACCACCGACTGCATGTGATGTTGAATCATATCTTTAAACTAGGCTACTTATACGCTTATATTAATTGAAAAAAAAGTTGCTTAGTGCAGTTCTAAGAGTAGTTGAATATAATTTTAATAACTAAATGTTGAAATGTAGCAAGATTCGTTGGTATAACAGAATTTGTCAAAATAATGGGAGACTGTTAAGTATAAAATACTCACATCACTTATCATCTTCAATATAGTATTTGTTTCGTAGTATTTTCGCTTCAAAACTTGCTTTATGATTGTAGTAAAAACTAAGTTAAAAAAAAATGAAAAGTATCAAGTCCACAAAATAAGATCCGATAAGGATGTTTAAATTTAATGATTGTACTTAAATAACCAGTATAATCCAGACATGTCCTCAAATGTTTCAAACATTAGCCACAATGTAAACTATTACCCTAAAACCAGATTTTAGCACTACATTCACTAGAAATTCCTGAAGCATCGGTCACAAACAATTAGTAATTACTATTTATTCAATTCCTCCTTCAAAAGACTTTAAAGTAGTTTATATTTCTTCAAAGCTACTTTCAAATTTTAGAAGTATGTAACATGTGTCTTGTTAAGCCTTGAAACCTTAGTTTCATAAATATTAGTTTTTGGGGAAAAATAATTGAATGTCTTGATTACATGTAGAAAGAATTAATAGGTATATGTATGTAATTTAGAAACATAACTTTTTCTGCTTCCACAGCCCTCTTTCCCCTATGATGTACAGACTGACTAACATTTCATGTTTGCCTGAGTGCTTAAACTATAAAAAAAGTTAAATTTAGGGAAAGAGATCATACTAGTAATTTTTTTTTTTTGATACTTTACTAATTTTATTTGTCTTTATTTATAAAACCGATTTCCGTTTGTATAATAATTTCAATCCCTGATACAGACAAAATTAATTTAGATTCAGATTTTTGGTTCCTGATTTTCTCTTAATCTATGTTATAATTTTGGCTTTATTTGTGAGCAACAATAAGCGAGGGATTAATGCATATTTTTTCAAGCACATAAGTTTAAGTGAATAGAATGTTTGCTACTTGCATAAAATGTAAGAAAAGCAAAGTTATGGGCCTATATTCGTCGCACTGCTGGGCACAGGTCTCTTCTTTCTGAGAGGGATATAGGGCAATTTTATTACAACATATTATGTTACTTTTATTTTGATGCTAGTAAAATATTTACTTGAATATTAAATTGAAAAGTCAAGATTACGCCTTTAAGACATTTTTAAATGTCACCTGTAGCTTCAGATTCACAATCATTTTATAATTATTAACATGGATTCTATTTAAGAATGACTTATTTTATTAATACTGTTTATCTATTAATGATTGATGATCTGATGCATTGCAGGTAGCAAACTTTTATTTATGGTGATTATTATTTGATTGATATTTGTAACAAACACTGATATCATCCTTTGATCCTCCACCAGGACCATACTCAGAATTTTGTCATGCCAATATTTGGTGAGGAATCGGTGACAATAATTAGTGACACAGAACTAAAGCACTTTTTGAGAGGGTTTTGGACTGTTCAAGTTCAAGCTAGCAGCGTCCACTGGAAAACACCAGTACTGTCTGTGTAAGAGATGCGATTCCTATTTCAAGATTTAGTGACTAATTGGTCACAGTCATATACCAAATTTAAAACATACGACTACAACAGAACCAAAGTTATTCATAAGCCTTAGAAAGGATTCTGGGTTGGCAGATTATATATCATAGATAATCCAAATGCATCTTCCACTTTGAAATATGTGCAAACATTAAGTGACTTATAAGTGCCTAATATGTTAAAAAGCATGATGTAAAATTTACGTAAAATGCTGTTCATACAGTTCTAAATGTACTTTTTTTTTTCAATTTCTCACAACAAATTTATTACATGCTTGACTGTTATTTCACATCTATTTACTTCTAAAAGTTAATATAGTTGTCTACTCCCCTTGGATACGAGCAATGAATTAAAAACTAGTTTTTTGCTTCGGATCTGTTTATTAATTTGTAATTGTCATTGTGGCTGGTTAGTAGCAGTAGTATTAGTTAGAGCCATTATAATTCAAACAGCTGACACAGGCCATTCTCATCTCTGAAGGTGTATGTATGTAACTTCATGTCTTTAAATAATATATTTTTTTATTTTTTAGACATGCAGATTTCCTCACAATATTTTTTTTCTCCACACATCAATCTTAAATTAGAAACCACATCTTTAACCCTGACTGGACTGGTGTAGTCAAGAGACGGGTGCTAATTTACGCAGTAGAACCATGATGCATCTATATTACTAGTATTGTTGTAGCATGAATGGGTCAGCTCGACCGGGAAAGGACCACACTCTCACAGAATACCAGCTTAATACTGCTGTGTATCGTGTGAAAACAAGTCACGTCACAAGTACCCTTTTTACTGAAAACAAGTCAATCCTAGTTCTTGCGGGTGACAACGCATCTGCATTTTGATTTGTAATAGATGTAGATGTCTATGAGCCACAGCAAGCACTTACCATCAGGTGCACTGTATGGATGTTTGTCACCCTTATCCTATATTATATATAATTGAATCCTAAAAAACTTGAATTCAGCCCAGTCATCCCAAAAATGTCTACTATTCCTCACTATAACTCACTCTATCCTAACTATATCTTCACAAATTATAAAATTCAGGACATCGTCGGAATGACCAGAAGACAAGACTTGTCAAAAGTACTAAGACTACCTTTGAAGTCTTGTAAAAGTTTGTTTTTAAATTTTAAAAATATTTTATAAATATCATAGTCCCACATAGATAAAAATCAAGCCAATTTAATTTATTTTAAAAGTTAAAATGCAACATTATTTTTCCTGCATGATCCTCCTCCTTTTTTCGTATATAGTTGGTATGTTTTTTAGACAGGTTCAGTATAGCATAAACTTCATATTCATTTCTTTTATTCTTACAAAAAATAATATTTTTGTATAATACTTTATGATGTAATTTTTTTTTTAAATAAATGTACCTAGAATATATTTAATTAATCTTTAATTTTGTTTCATAACTTGTCTAAATGTCAATTTTCGGGCTGCTGTTTAAAATTAAGAATTCAATTACTATTACAGTAGAAATATTTTTTTAGTACTGAAATAATACATATTCTAAAGCAATATATTTATCACAAATAAATGTAAAAGACAAAATAGCATCAATGTAAATTGTCATATATTTGTTAAGAGAGAAATAGTTTGATATAAAAAGAGTGTTTTATCTAAAAATGCCTTATTACAATAGGTCTTAAGACTTGATACTGACTTAGCTGTATTTGTTGTTGTCAATCACTAACCAATTTATGGTGGAATGATAGCAACCTTCTAAACTAATTTGTTGCATTTAGTGATTAATAAAATTGCATACATATTTTATATCATTTTTTATTTACAAAAATTTCTTAAGTACTTCACAATAATTATACACTTCCTTAGTGCTGAACTTCAATGTTTTCATCAATGTCACCTTAAGAAAGTGGAAAATATTAAATATTGCAATTGCATTTAAAATATATTTGCTGCTTTAGTTAGATATTCACACAATACAAAGTATGAATGAACTAAGTTAACTACAAAAGTTACATGATTTAAAAATATCAGTGTTATGTTGTCACCAATCATCACCCTATACACAAAATTCCCTGATTAAATATCATTGCTTATTGGGGTGTTAAGGGCTAATGTATGACATCAGTGCATCTTTGCACCTTTTCCAGTTGCTACAAAAATAATATAACTAAATAATATATAGTTATTATTATCAAAAATTATTATTTAACACGGCGCAACATGGACCATCGGCGGACTGGAGACCGGACCAGAGGGGAATAGCCATACGCAGGCAATCCCTTCTGTAATATAGTTCCCAAAGTACAAGGCTATGCAGTCCTACGTAATTGCACTCGTACAATATGCAGATTGGCGGTCAAGCAACTGATCCAAGTCTGCATATGAGTTGTCGATCACCGAGCAGTGTTTAAATGTACCTATGCGTGTGTAAAATTGTTAGTATATTGCTTCAATTATTGTGTTTCATAGTGACAGAAGATTTTTTTTGTGCATAGAATTCCCTCTACCAAAAATGACTGACAGTTCTGTGGCTGCTCCCCTTGAGTCCGCCAGTGGCTTGTGTTGCTTAATGCTAAGAAATATGAAATATTCTGTGCCATGGAATATTAAAAGTAAGCAAAAAGTGAGCAAGGCGTGCATATCACAAATAGGAGCAGTACTGCCTAATTGACTGTTAGAGCCTTAAGTTGTCGTAAGCTGATGAGTTGCTGCTGAAAACTTTCTCATCATTAAAATCCTTCACAAGACCACTGCTGAACATAGGCCTCCCCCAATTAATGCCACAACTACTCAATCTTATGGCAAGTAAAATAAAACCTTTCTCTATCATTTCTCAATATGCAATCACTCAAAAAATTAGTGTAATGTTGGTACACTTTTTTTCTTGCTAATGTAATGTGTAGGTTTAGCAACAGTGATTCTCATATAAATAATGCACTTAGCCACTTCCTCTTGCTTTTAATATTTCATATTCTGCACACACACTTT